CAGGAAGGGACTCTGTGATTATTCAAGGGGAAAAGAAGCGGGAAGACATGCAGAGGGTCAATGATACAGTGGTCCAGAACACTGAAAACCGGTTCAACAGGTATATGTACAGCGTCCTACTCGTGCGCGTGTACATCTAATGTTGACCGACAGGTTCTCACACACATACGCACGCAGCCCTTTAAAATTACTCCATGTTCTTATCCTCTTCAGCTTATATTTCAACATCAGAACTACAAACTGATGCTCTGTAAAACAACAACAAAACCTGATGTTTCACAACATTTTCAGTAGTGTTTTAGTTGTTATTTTTTTCCTCTATTATCCTATTATTTGAGGCACAAAGTAATAAACCATTGGAAAAGTCGAGTTGTAATTAAAGCTGGAGCGTTAAGAATAGACAAGTTCCACAAAATGTCGACCATACAACTCTCGAGCTTTCTAAACATTCTGTTTATACGGTTATAAAATAACTGGTTTAGATCTAGCTGGCTGGGTCAGAGTAAAAACAAAACAAATACTTAGTGGTCTAAAAGTTGGGTGCCCCAGAGCAGTATGTTAATTCATTCTTATTTTCGTCTGTTTTGATATAATTTACGATTATGTGTGAAGAGTAAAAATAAGCAAGACATACAAAGAGTTGTAGTTGTGCAACCCATCCACAAAGAAATATTTTGTCGTCTTTCAAAATTTGTAGCGTATACTGATTTTGCACATTTTGATTTAAAAAAAAAAAGGAGACGAGAAAAATCACATTTTACACCCCAGAAAATGAACAGAGAACTTTTATTTTAACCAACGTTTCGTCTTTGCAGCTTCTTCGGGGCTAGTACGTACAACTTAGTACAGAATATATGTATAAGTGTAGTTACGTTTCGGATGGTGGTGCGACTTTGTGAAAAGATTCTGCTGGGTGAGAAACCTATACGTGGATTTAAATTTTGTTGTTTTTAAGACGTTTTAAAGCTTAAATAGTCTATGATTGGCTTTTTTAAAATAGCTCACCCCCCTTTTTTATGTTATGGATTAATCACGACCTACGAGATCTTTTGGGCGAAATAATATCTGATGGATTACTTTCCACGGTACTTGGTATTTACCTGTTTCTTTTTATAACTAACAATTATTTCATCACGCCATATTGTTTAATATATGTTTACACCTATAACCATATGTTGAATCTGGCCAATGTTAGAACACTTATACCGCAACAAATCACGATGAATTTTTATGACCCCCCCCCCAAAAAAAAACAACAAAACAACAACAATGATCACAATATATGTAACCGGCATCCTTTTGATGTTTTCCAACAATGTAAGACAACTCTGAATCTATGTTGCTGACAAAATTCGATCGATATTGGGTCGGCTAGAATGTCTCACGTGACCAACTCAGACTAGAGTCGGTTGAACAAAATTCGATTTTTTTTGGTTCAATTTTTAAAGGGATAACACAAATCACAGATATTACGACGGCTTTGGAAGTAGTTTACCTGAATCTAGTACTGTATGTATCAAACGATAACGAAAGATAATGGGCAGGCTAATCACGGAAAAAATATCTGCGTTCTAAATAAAGCACAACCTTGCCTAACGCCGAGAAGTTAAAACAACTAAAAATAAATCACTTACCAAGTTAACATAAAACAGAATGTTACTTAAACCTAATATAGATCTTTATACACTGTCTAACAGAACACTTATTCCCGGTCGGAAACTATAATTCTCGTAAATAAAATATTGGAAAATGTATGAGGAGTCACCAACGTTGTGAAATGGTGCAAATGGAGGACAGAGAAAAAAATTTAACAAAAAATGTTAAGAATGAAAAATATAAAATCTCGTTCTGACTAGACAAAACACAAATACAGCTTAACTCAAGGTTGTCCAAGAAATCTTTTTTTAAAATAATATTAGAGATATTTAATAGTAGGTAATGAAGAACATTCGTAGCGATTGGAGGTGTAACTTTTTGGAAGACAGCCAAATGCTGTAGTTATGATCTGACGTATTACTGACTGGGCTAGTAGGACAACACATGCCCCGGGGCCAACAAATTATACATTAATATTACACGAGCATAAAAACCCACGTGTAGAAGTAACGCTCAAACTTAGGAAATATTATATACAATTTAAAAAACAACACATTTTAAAATCTTTTATTCATGCATGCGTTATAAATATGGTCGTAACAAGTCTTTTGGGTATGTAAAATATTCAAACAATCTATAAAGGACACTAGAATTTTTTTCTGTTTATATTTCTCGGATAAGGCTTAAAACAGAAAGAAAAAGACAGGCAACACAGAGAAGGATAAATTTTTAACGTGACTACGGCCATGACCTATACACTGCGCCCTCGTGTGGACGTTATAAACATCACTATTGAAGCAAGTCTGCTATATGTTGTACATAATAAATAGCAGGAAGTAATTTCGGGATTAACAAGGGATTTCGAGAAAAAAAAAGGTATAGAAATATAAAACAATCTAATTACTTAAATCTCATGATTACTGGTTTATGAAAAATCAATATTCGCAAGTCAAAATGCTCTCAACTGACACAAAGATCACAAAATCTGGAACGCTTTTCGTAATTAAAAACACATGCTATTATTATTTATATCAAGTAACATATGACGATATTTACTGATGACATATGGATCTCTATGATTTTTGAAAACTAGTTTGCTATAATATGATTCTTTTAGTTGTTTTTTTTTGGGGGGGGGGGTAGGAAGAGGTCTAAAAAGCACCTGACTCTCCAAAGTTCTATATCAGACCTAAGCCACATGAGATAGATTAGTTGTTTTTGCTAACATTTGATAAATCGACTTTGTATTTACTTATGCATTAACACATAAAAAAAACCTTAGTTCTTTAAAATTTCCTTAAAAAGCTTGTCAGAAATGAGAACGTTTTAGGTGAAATTTTTTCTTACTAAATCCAAAGGAATTTTATCCAAATTCAATTACCTGTGATATGGTAAGCTACAGGTCTGATATAAAAACATAAACTTTAATCCTAGCTGTCTCTGAAATTCTTAAAAAGTTCTCGACCTTAACTAGGATTTCATTCATTATCATCAAGTGAGCTAGGTTTGAGCATATTTTGATACAAGTCTCAGGATAAAGATAAAACTGGAACAAGAAGGAATAAGAGACACCCCCACCTTAAATAGAAGTGTTTACACAATACACTCATCATTGTTGTTACAATAATTCAGATATTACGAATGACTGCAACGACATAGACTTCACTTCTTGTAGAAATAACTCATGCTAAAACAGTATTTTTGGAATCACTTTTTGTTTCAGAACAAAGATCAGAACAGATATGGTTTTGTGACCAGTAATATCACTATGATAGACATTGACAGATATGGTTTTGTGACCAGTAATATCACTATGATAGACATTGACAGATATGGTTTTGTGACCAGTAATATCACTATGATAGACATTGACAGATATGGTTATGTGACCAGTAATATCACTATGATGAACATTGACAGATATGGGAAACCAATAGCATAATTAAAAAAGACATTCCCCTGCATAAAACGTAACTGCATTTATTTCCCTATAACTGTAGTTATGATCCTGGCTAATCTGCCCCCTCCCTTCAATTGTGTGTATGTGTGTGTGTGTGTGGAGGGGGGCTGCTGCATACTTATTATGCCACTGGATACTGTTGATATTTGAGAAGTTAACAGAATCAATGTTGGTAATAAGGACAGGGTCCAAATAAGTGACCTTAGCTGTTTCAGACCTTATTTTTAAATTTTAGGGGATGTTGAAGCTTGTGCTTACTGAGTTATAAATATTCCTCACCAATAACTAACTAGTTAATACTACCACAAATAGATCTTTTCTAAAACTGCTTTGTATTGTTAGAGTATGATATTTATAAGCTGCAACATGAGTAATATTTGTTTGACATGGGTATGTGAAGTACACAAATCTAGCCTTGTCCAACATTTCCAATAAACTTAGCTTTTTAAAAAGCACTTTAATGACCTGACACACTCTCTATGTCATTGGATAATTCTAACGGTATTCATGTTAACTGAAAATAGTTTAAAAATACATATTTTCTTACCATAGTTGGCTGTGTTTCTATTGGAGTCTGTTTAGAACATTTGTTCAACTTACTGAATCATAGTTCTTTCAATTACAAAAGAATTTCTCGGTAACTAAGAGCTACAAAGTGAAATAAATGTATTGCTCGTGTCAGTTCTTTCCTTGTCTTTAACATTCAAGATATTTTCATTTAAAGTGCAACATGTATATAAAATAGTGGAAAATGGATTATTACAATGCTTAGTTTGTTTTGGTTACAACTGGAATAACTCATCCAAAAATGGTTTTTCACATCTCCTTCCCAGAATCTTCCACAATGTACCTGTATCTTATTTCAGCAACTATAATACTGCCCTATTCAGCAGCATATATCAGATAATAAATAAATAACACTACTAGCACACAATTATGCTAAGTTACATATGAAACTTCTGTGGCTCAAACATACATAAGTGATCTCCCAGTATCATATTAGTCATCCTTCAAATGATTTTTTTTTTATGTGGTCATAAACCTATAATAAATGCACTCTGCAAATAGAAAATAATATGAGAGAGAGATAACCCACATTTCCAAAAAGAAAACTACAAACCCTGTTTCTAAAACTTTTACATGCAAATTCAGAAACTTTAATTAGGAAGGTTGCATGTACAAAAATAAAGACATGGGAGAAAAATTCTATGGTAATGTGCTGGTATTAGTAATTTAATAAATAGGAGAAATGTCCTGTAAGAAAGACCTCAAAACGTTTTCTGTTATCTATAAATAGTGACCTTTCACCACCCACCTCTTGTATTATACATTATTCTAAAATTACTTGGTTTAAAAATATCATCTATACAAATTCACCTTTGTCTCACAATCAAACAAGAAAAAAAAATTTGCTCAGAGTTGCTTTTCATTGCGTGCTCCTCACCTGTAAAAAACAAACATTCCATTGACTTGTCCTGATCGCATTGATGAAACTGACTCATGAACCATTGCAGGGGAGTCTGCAGAGCTTCTGAATGGAAGAAAAAGATTAATTAACTGTTAAATATTAGAAATATTGTTAATAATTCACAGAAAAAAATACAACTTTTTTGTTTGTAACACATGGATTAAGTTTAGACACTTCTGTAAAAGAGGTAATATCAAACTTTTTCTTGTGAAACCAAGTATTGCATAATGTAAACAAATTACCCTCAAATACTTAGTTTTTACAAGACAAAAATGTAATAATGCATGATTTTGCACAATAACAAAAGAGCCATCCAAAAGCAACTAATAATCTCATTTAATCATGGCAGTTTGGTTTATTACTATACTATCTTTATTTTTATAACACAAGAGACTACACACAAGTCTTATACTTATCTTTCTGGATTGGAAAAAAAAATTTCATTAGGAATTTGAGATCTTTTAAAATTTACATTAGTGTTTTTTAGATATTTTCCGAGCACTAATTTAGGTACTTGTACATCTTTTAAAAATTTTTACTTCTTATTTCAACTCATCACATGCTCATTCTGTGTTACACACACACATACATACATACATACGCAGTAGAGATGTCAACTGTTACTGTGTGGCGTGGACTTCAAGAGCCTGTTTAATGTTCACGAAGGCCAACTTCTAGTTAACCACATGTACATGTGGTAACTTTCATTAGGCAGTTACATGTTTACTTACAAAAAAAAAAAGGGGGGGGTGAGGGTAGGTAGGTACAAATAATGTTGATTTTGTTAAAATATCATGCTAATGTATTAAATTACTACTCACTAAACCTTTGGTACAAGCAAATAATAAGCACTGATTGCAAGCAACAACTTTATCTTTTAACACCATGGATACAAATGAAAAAAAAAAAACTAGTTAATGTACTGATATATCATTCACTCAAACTTTGATAAAGAAAATATTAAACTAACTGCTAGTAGCAACTTTATTTCAATCAATTAACAACCAAATACTACTGCAAAACTTTTTTTTTTAATGATAACCTAAATTTACCTCACAAATAAATATACTTAATAGTGGAAATTGAAATAAACATTTTGAAAATAACATAACTTAATCATTTAAATTATAAATACCAACAAATTTTTTATTTTATTTAATGTTTAAAATTGGCACTGAAAGTGCAAAAAGACCACTTCTTAGGCCAAAACATCTGTTTGAACTGTATGAAGAAGTATATGTATTTAAAGTAGAATCAAATTAAAGATATTAATAACTGTACAGAGACTACAACTTAACTTACTAGAAAATTAACAAACAGAAAAGATTAAATAAAATCTGTTGGTTGATAGAGCTCTGCAAGAGTCAATAGAATTTAATCCAATTAATATTTTTTTCTCTTACTACAAGAAAACAAGAAGGAAATGAACAGAAGTAAACAGAAAGTTTGTTAATGTCTGAAATGCATAAAATTTTCAAAGTCTTATGGCTCTTTCTACAATTTTTAATGTAGGTGACAACAATATCATATATGACTACTTATAATAAAAAATTTCTTTTTTAAATAGTCACAGTTATATTAAAAATAAAAGGTTAATGCTGCCAACAGCTTACACAAATTATATTTCATTTGAATGCTTACTTATTTAGATAACAAGTATCTAAAACAAATACAACATAATGTTTCACCTTGTGGCTTCTTCAGAAGTTTTATTTGTAGGATAAACTATAAGGTGAAACATTTAGTTACAATAAAAACACTATTCTGGAGATAGCGGTCACATTATATATTTTTTAAATGTTGTTTAATAATAAACTCCAGTTATTATTTGAAAAAATTAAGAACAAAACAAAGTATCTGTTTATCAGTCAACCATAATATCTCTGAAGTAATGACTTTGTCTTCTAGCAGCAATTAAAAAAATACAAAATAATTTTAATACATTAATATCACTTTTATTATCAATATACCTTTTATGGAACTAATTTTTTAATTGTAAAAATTTAAAAGCAAATGTACATTTATATTTCTTACGTTTTTAAATGTTAGTAATACTAATAGTGTTACACAGTACGTAACAAACAACCCACTTTAAAAGTATACATTCACTGCAAAAATGTGTAAAAACGAGCCTAAGTAATTAGATTCACAAAGTTACAGAAAATTCAACTGTTTCTATAATTAAATAAAATAGTGAGATATGATCTGCACAAAACCTACGTCACTGCCGAGTCATGATAAATTATGGCCATACCACTACCAGTTAACTGTGGTTTCTCTTAATCTTTATGGGAGCCCTCTAACGTCAAATTCACCCATTTATTAAAAGAAACATTTTAGTATACAAACTATGTAACTAATTTGGTCTACAATAGTCATTTTTTTTATTTCTCGGTTCAGCATTCTTTTTATGTTACACAACTATTATATGCTCCTATGTTCACAGTTTTGAGCTTTTAATGTATCTTATAAAAAATAAAAGGCCCGTTATGTGCATAACAATATCATACAACATATTTCAATATATATTTAATTTTTCTCATATTTCGAGAAAGCATAAACGATCAATTTATATCACGTTCTGACAACATGGGTAAACTAGTTCATTCTGAACCTGGGGAGATAAGGTGTGTGTCGTTAGTCTTTCCAATTCATTCTACAGAAAAAATCATCACACCATCAGCGATGGTTCCTAAACCTAACACAACTTCCCATTAGAAATTGTGGCAATCTCCTAATCGTCACGGGCTCTAGTTCCAAACTGCTACCACTGGTTTCATTGGCTGCTGACAAACTGACCTTCAACTTCAAGAACGAAGTTTCGCTTATACTTCTGCCATGGCCGACAGATATTATCTAATATGTTTCTATGAAGATATTTAAATTTTATTGAAGCGTATTCCAGGACTGTAGAACTTTTCTCTTTCACACAGAACAGACAATAGGCCGGCTGCACAAACATTTGGACGTGAATTTTGGATTATCATAATTCATGGAATAGGAAATACATTTCAATAACAAAATTAATTGGGACCGTTGAGAAATTTATTAAAAATGGCAACCTCTATTGCTATTCAAGGTTATCTTGCATAAACCCCCAAGCTTAAGCCTAAAGACAATTAAATATACTATGTAAAGTTATTTAAATCAATTTGAAATTTTTTATTACTTAAAATTATAATTAAAAGGCTTGGTAGGTTAAAAATAAAGTTAGATGCATGCAAAATTACATTTGGAAAAGAAACATTACAATAAAAATAGACATTTATCGGATATAATACTAGTATGATATTAATAGGTTATCCAACAATCTTCACTATCACGAAATCAGAATTTTCAGTTTGATAACTTGGTATAATTATCCACCACACACGATAAAACAATGTTTTGAACTAGATTACAAAAATAAACACATGCATAAAACAATGCTTTGGTCAACAACTGCCAAATGATACAGTCTTTGTTGATTTTTATAGTTATCGTACGAGTAACATATGTTTAAAACCTTGAACAAAATAGTCGGCGTGTATTAGATGGTTATTTTTAATGCTGTAGAACTTTTCGTTCATATCCTTCCCTATACCTCAAACACTAATACAAATTTTTACTTTAACTGTCCCACAGAGATAAACGGTATATCGCAGATTCACGCTTGATATCGTACTTTCTCCATATATTTACATATTATTAATATCGCAAACTACCCATACATAACGTTTGACGCTCAATTATAATTAGCTAATATCTATGGAGTATTGGATCTGTTTTACTTCACCGTACAGTAACCTAAATTGATTTAGGTAATGTGAATAGTGTTATGACATTTCGTCGAATTTATTATTCAAAATTACACAGTAGTCCGCAGCAGAGCGTACCGCCAATCAATGAATGTATTAGGCCTCTACGTCACAGATTCTCTCTTCAATTTCACCTCTCTTGAAAAAGAAAATAAATCTTTTAACACATACATACAGTTATAATTAGCTATATTTACACTGTTACCAATCCAAATGTTGAACTACGTAACCACACTTATAAGGGTGTTGCCCTGAGATCACTGTAATTTTCATTATACTTTTAGGGAAACTGTAGGCGAATAAACACTTAAAAAAAAATTCCATACAGCGAAATGCTACACAAGAATTATCTGCGCTAGCCGTTTCAGATTTTAACAGTGAAGACAGCCAATGGTGCCCACCACCAGACCTAGGGCTATTACTATAATCGAATAGAGTTATTTGTCCTTTCACTATCATAATTTAACTATGGCTCCGAAGTGTAAAGCGTTGCTTTTTTTTTTTCGGCAAAAGGAACACAAATCATGACCCTCGAATCCACAGTCTGCACGCTAACCACTATGCCACGCTGTTTTACTTAAACGTATTAATTTTTTTCTGACGTTAATATACACATATCGAAGTCTTTTTTTAGAAGATCCTTACAGGTATGAACAGCATGGAAAAATGAAACTACAATTACAATTTTAAGATAAAATTGTATTTACGTGCTGAAGGGTGTCCACAGGGGTGGTCTGGGGAGCAGACCCCCATTGGAGAACTCTACCCCCCTAGACACATCATGATTTAGTCTTTTATTTTTAAGTTCTTTACATTGTGACTTCCACTTATTTTCTGCCTTTCCAACTAATTTTTTTGCCTCTTATGCCCCAATAAAAAAATTCTAAAAAAGTCTCTGTTTATGTGGGTAAACTTCTCGTTTATCTTTGAAGAGGTAGAATAAAAGAAATGAACGAAAGATGTAAATGAAAATTTTATAGGAGCGATTAAACGACATAATTTTTTTTTGTAACTGGTTACCAATGTAGTGACATATTCTGACCACTGTCCACATTAACTCTCGTATAAAAAAGTTTTTTTTGGTTTATATATATCTACATTATCTTACCTTTCACGCCATTTCCCACAGAAAACCATTACCCGCAATTGTTACGTGTGAATGATAATTTCATTTTAACATCAGTAATAGCTGTTGTGTTGTTTGGCTCCGTAGGTGTTGGTCACCATGGTAGCATTATACGATCGGTAATGGCACGTGTCTTACTT